ACTATAGATTCAAATATTTTTATTATCAAAATAATTAGAATATAACCAGAAAAATAATAAATAATATAGTTAATAAATATATGAAACCAGAGTCTGATTAGCACCAAGAACACACGATTTTACCTTTGTACAGACGTAACCAGCACCTCCACAATCATTACTATTCACCAAACAACTGCGGAAAATTTGGCATACTTTTTTAAAGTAAGTTTCAGTTGAAATTCCATTTGAAGTAGTGGTAAGCTGGCCTTTTGCATTTCCTCGTTGAATTCAAGAGAGAAGTTACAGAGCTTTTCCTTGATTTAACTTTAGGTGTTTGTGGTAAATGGGTAGCCTCTTTCAGTCAAGATCTTCATCAAGTAGTCGGTCAAATCACTACCAGCGAGATCAATTCTGAGGCTGGCTTGCGTGAGTAATTTTCATGGATTGGGACTGTGTGTGAGACACCAGTAACAATAGTAATAAACAAACCGTTGTTCGACCTGAGGCGTACAATGAAAGGATGGCTTTGGATAGTAACGTACAGAGCTGGTGTATTTAAAGTCTAGATTTGTGTTATCTTTTTTTGTCGGCCTTTGGGTTCTTTGGTGGATTCAATAAACAAGACTGGGTGCTCTTTAGGGGCAACACATGACAAACAATTCAAGCAGAATAGGATGATTATAGTTTCCAACCACATCTAAAATATGGTTTTGATTTGGTTTTCTTTTTTTTATTGTGTTTTTTACCGACATGATACTACATTTTATCGGGACATTACAACAAAAAAGTGTAAAAAACGAGCAAAAGTTCATAAAATGATGACAAGTCGTCTTGTTTTTCTTGCTCAAAAAACACTGATTTTTAAAATTAAAAATCAATAGGCAACAAAACATGTCATTCTCATTTTTTGGTTAGTTTTTGTGCTATATTTAATATTCTGAACATGAAACTTGGTAATGTGGGGTTTCGAGTTTTGTGTGTAATTATACATTTTCACTATCATGTTATTTCAGTTAAAAGCATTCGGTTATAGCAAGAAGCGAAAACATTGATTTTTGAAAAACAATAAAAAGTCAGACAATAGATTTTTTTAGTGATGGCATTAGTTGCATTGTGCAGAATTTTATAGAGGGTATTTTACTCTTACTAAAATTTTGAGTACAAGTTATTCCCCTTTTGGGAGACAATGAACAATTTTTCAAATTAATTATTATAATTTTGATTATTATTATTGATTGTTGATTTTATCGAAACTTTTTAATCCAATTGGAAAAACATTCGAATGGCTGAGAAAGATATCTTAGGCGACTAAGAATGGTTTGTTGAAGGACCCGCACCCCAGAGAAAGACTAGGAAGAAGGTAGCCAGTGCAGAAATAACAAGCAAGTTCGATCCCGCGGTGATTGTTTTGACTGACGTTGAGTGTTTTCAGTTGTTTTCGACTGAAGAAACTTTCTATAACATATTGACTTTTTCAAACAACAAAATAGCGAAGAAACATAAAATAAAGGATAAGCTTTTGCCCAAACACATTTACAGGTTTGTAGGGATATTTCTTTACATGGGAGCCTACCACGACACCATAAACCCCATTGAAGAGCTTTGGTCCATGGAAGATGGAAAAGCTATTTATAGAACAGCCATGTCGAGGAACATGTTCATATTCATTACTGCCAATATTGAGACATATGATGTTGATGCTCCAGGAGCAGTCTAAATGCCACAGCCTCCCCAGATGACAAAAATGAAGAGGATGAAGATGCCAATTGTGTCGAAGGTGCTGCAAGTGAAGAAGGCGATGAAGAAGAAGAAGACGAAGACGAAGAGTATCTCAACAGCCTTTAATTTGATGACGAGAAATTCTGAGAACTCTCCGAAAAGCAGCTGAAAAAGAGCGTCAGGGTGAAGAGGGGGATCGATCTCAAGGAAAACTATCTGGTTACCCCAGCACCCACCCCAAACGAAAGTGACAGATTCGCTTTAATTGGTATGATCATGGACAAGTTCATCTTCAACCTCGTTAACCAGAAATACTACACCCCTAGCAATTTTGTTTGGGTTTACGAGCATTTCTGCTCGTTCAAAGGCAAGATATGGGCCAAGGTGTTTATCAAGTCGAAACCTGGCCTCTACGGGATCAAATTCTGGGTTTGTTCTATTATTATATAATGTGTTTCAGTTATGAAGCATAAAATGACAACTTGTTTCTATTATCGTTTGAATTTTATATTTGAATGTTTTAAGTGACTTTTTGTTGTTTTGTATATGTTTTATGTTATGTTTTAAAAATAACTTTTAGATGTCTGTTGACAGCGAAACTGGTATGGTGTTAAACTTTCAGATGTATTGTGGTAAATGTGGGGGAAGAGAAGAAAACCAAGGTTTCAGAGTAACCCGTGACATGGTACTCCCCATGCTCTGTCGCGGCTTCAAGACGACCGTGGTGTGCGACAACTTTTTCTGTACTTTGAAGATGTCGCACAACCTTGCTGCCTTTGGTTGTTAACTTCTAGGCACCATGAGGATGAACAAGAAAGAAGTGCCCGCCAAAGCCAAGGATGTAGAGAAGAGAAGCAGCGACACCACCACCTTCTTCTCAAAGGGCAAGAGCAAACTTGTCTCTTACTACAACGAGAAGAAAAAGTTGGTGTCACTGCTTACCACCTGCCATTACAAGGATAATGTTGTCGCAGTGGAGACCACCGTCTATAATTGGGCAAGCAACAAGTTGTCCACAAACCCCAGCCCATCATTGATTACAACCACAAGATGGGTGGGTTGATACCGCCGATCAGATGGTCAGGTATTACAGCTGTAGACGCAAAACCTACAGATGGAACATTCGGGTCTTGTACGACATGATCGATATTGCGGCTCTCAATGGGTACAAGACCTACTCAGCATTCAATAAAGGTGATCGTATTGAATACCCGAATAAGCTTTCAAGGGATTTGATGGCTTATAACTGATTTTTTTTCTTTGTGGTTTGGTTATTTTTATGTTTTATTGAATCTGAACTGTTTGAACGAACACCAACACTTTTAGCGACAAAAAAACTAAATTGGGGGTTATTATACCATTTTTATTGTAAAATAAACTTTTATCCTTTTTATAAACATGATAATATGTCGTTAACAGTATATTCAACTTTAACAAGTGAATGCACGGGCTTGTTAACCCGAGTATTCTTCTTTCAAAAAGCTGTTTGCATGTGCTTGTTTTTAAAATGATGATTTAATTATTTTAACTTTATTTTATTATAAGCTGTTCTACCTAATTATAATTTAACCATTTTATTGTAGTAAATTATAGTTTGTTTTTTCATATACTTTTTATTGCAGTTTTTTTAACTACTTGTCTTAGCAAACAAAAAAAATAAATATTGGACAAAAAAATGACTAAAAATCGGGAAAAATATCGAATCATCAATAAAAAGTGGTAGTCTGCACACTTTCTCTGAGATGTGATGGTTTCCATACTTGAGTCAAGTCGAAGTAACTGTTTCCAAGACTGGGAAAACTTTTTGAGATTAAGTTATCTCTCTTCTATTGCATTTCCACCATTTCTAGTCAAGATAGAGGCTTGGAAAGCAGCACCGTAAGCAATAGCTTCGTCTGGGTTCATGCTCTTGTTTGGCTCCTTTCCCATTGAAGTGCTTACAGCAACTGACGACATTTGGCATCCTTAATGATAAACCAATCAGCATAACATCGTCAATGCTTCCCTTGTCCAACCTGGCGTCTTTCAACGTTTTATCGACAATCCAGCTTGTCAATTTGAAGAGGTCGATGTTCAACTCTTCAAAATTTGTGATGCACCTGTTTGTTAAGAACATTTTTGTTAAAAACTGAATTTGATTGAACTCTTTCAAAAAATATAAAAACTGTTACAAACTATTGTTTACTATAATTTCATTTTCTATTAACAAATGAACTATCGTTTAATAGTAAAATATTATACATTGTGGTTCTTATTATTTCTACTTGGAGTTTTTGAAAAGAAGTTTGGTCTTTTATATTTTTGTGTTCACTTTAAAAATACCTTTATTTTTTTTCATGTTTCTTGTATGGTGCTCAAAAAACGCATCTCAATAAAACAGACGTGTATGCCATGCAAATCTAACTTTTTTGTACCAAAAAGAATAACATTTATTTGAAATTGTTCCAAAAAGTAAATTTTGGCCTTTGTTTTTGGTTGGCAATGATAAAAAACTAAAAGAACAAACAATCAATTCATATCTTTGATCCTCGTCAGTGAAACAAACTATAATTCATACACCAAAGTCAAAACCTTGTTGTGACAAAGAATGAATCGAATGTCTTCGGTTTAGCTGTAAAACGTTTTTTTGTGTTTTTTGGTTTTGTGATTTTTGACTCATTCTGAAATATATTTTAGAAATTTTTTCTTTGTTTTATTCTTTTTTCCCTAAGATGGGTTATCTCTTATTGGGAACAAACAAAAAAGGCTTTTCGTCTTATTATTTTTTTTCACCCACACAAAAATCGAAACCCGTGGTTCAATTTTTGTATTTTTCAAATTTTACAAAGAAAAAACTTTTCTTTTTTCTTGTTATTTTTGTTGGGTCAATTGCACCACAAAATATCAAGACACCTCAAAGTCGTGCTTTATTTTTTGTTTCTTTGTTTTTTGTGGTGCAATTGGGTTTTAATTTTCATGGATGTTATGTTTTATTCTGCAATTGGGTCTTTATTATTTTTTATTATTGTTTATTTTATTTGTGTAGTTTGGGAGATCAACCCTACACAATGGAGACACCACGAAATGTGAGTAGTCAAAAGTAGCTATCGATGTTTCCAATAAGCGAGATCTCCCACCGGTAGTTATACCGGTGGCTGGATAGGGTCTGGTAAACCCTTAAGGCAATATACTTGGAAGAGTAAATGAGCATTGTCACCTCGCATCTTCGCCGTTCCAGCAAGTCCCAACTCTGTGTTTCCAAAGGCTTTGAAGGAAACGTTCTGAACTTAGAGAGTCAGATTGCCTCTTCATTCTATTCTCAAAAAGATTCTTGACATTTTGAATAGCACAGGCACGCTTTTTAATATTGGTTTGGATAAAAACTGGTAATAATAGGGGCAAAGATGTGGGTTATAATTGATTACTTTTCGTTTTATTTATGTGGTTTGTAGTCATTTTAATTTCTTTGTGAACTGACTTTTTCGTTATCCTCTGGCTTATTTCTGTAAAGGGATAAGCCAAAAAGGTGAACCTTTGTTCGTCCCCACTTTAACAAAAGGTTCGCTTTTTTACTATAATTTGTAACATTTTACTTTAAAATTTATAAACTCGGTGTTTTAAAAGAGTAGGAGTAATTAAAGAAATAAAAGTCTCATTTGCAGGAAAAATAACCAAGATTACACAGAATTAATTATTTTTGGTTTTTAGAGTTTTCAGAAGGTTAAATATTATACGCAGACTCATAACTTATTTTACTTCAGTAGTGACTCGTAAAGTGTTTTTAAGTGAAGACTTATAATTACATTAAGTTTTTTATTTGGTTAAACAATTTTTATTCAATAATAACTGTAAAACTATTTATAATTAACAAATTTTATTAAAAAGTGTAGTTTTTACAGTTTTATGATTTTTTGAATATATTTTGGTTATTTTTGTTTATTTTTGTTTTGAAACAATACAAAGCAATTACACATTAATACTGTATTATTTTAAAACAAAATACAATAATTATGAAACAACTCTTTGTTTTGGAACAATAAAATATTGATTTGAGGATAAATAAATAGTTCTGAAACATCCGATATTATTATGCAATAATACTGTCAGTTATGAAACAATCACGAAAATTGTGCAACAAAAAATAATTATTTTGAAACAGGGCTGAACAAAGGTACAAATCTAATTGTTATGAAACAGAAATCTATTTGTTATGAAAAATAAGTAATTATTGTGAAACTAACTGTAAAACTAAAAAATATTTTGAAAAAATTTAGACCCATTTTTAGATTATTTTTAATTCGACATTGTTGAAAAAATAAGTTGAAAAAACTTGAACAAACTTAAAAAATTAATTGAAGTCGAAAGAAGATAAATAGTCTAACACCAAGAACCACTCAATTAATGCCAAGAATTAACTCTTGTTTAAAAATAAAACAAAGACTAAATATTTAACGGTGTCATTTTACACGTTTGTTATTGTTATTTTGTCATTATTTATCACTTATTACATAAATATTCAAATATTAAATTTTATTGCATCATCCTAAAAATCTTTAATTGATAGTAAGTTGATGAAGTGTATATCCTTTAGACAAATGTGTCTTGTGAGTGTGGTTATTGAATATTGTGGCGATTGGGCGAGCTTGCAAAAACAAACACACTTATCATCTCTTTGAGTTGTGACGAAGCAGGATTTATGAAGTTATATTTGTTGCCAAGTTAAGTTAAGTGATGGTTTTTATTGGTTTATTCGCTTCTTGATTTATGTGTGGTTGTTTTTCTATAGTTTTTAAATGATTAAAATAACTATAGAATATTATTATCAAACAAACTAAATGGTAACAAGATAATCAAAATGTCAATAATTGTTATGATAAAAAGGATAAATTGGGCTTGTTAAATAAGGGTTTTATTGAAAATGACAATTTTAGCCATTAAAAATATTTTGGGGGGATAAGAAAACCCTTTTATTTAACAATCAATTGCAAATTTATACCTTCACTTCACTGCTTGTACAGCCAACGTCGCCTATTTGTCGGTTAACATATTTGTCGATTAAGTCTTTTTGTTGGTTTATTGACCAATCATTTTGTTGATAGTCAAATAGATTGTTTATTCCAAAAACATTAACTTAAATAGAAATCAATTTAAAAATAGTTTCATTTTTGAATGGTTTTTTCCATAAAAGTAGAATAATCACTATTCTTGTTTTTAGGAAGGTAAGATTTATTTTTCAGCATTTGAATTTCAAGTTGTTAAAAATAGTTTCCAATTCCAATTCCATCTGCTTTTTATCACCATCATCTTCATCTTCATTGAAATAAAATGGTAAAATGTTTTCATATGGATAAGAAACTATTTCTTCGATAATAATTGCTCTGTATTCATCATTCAATGGAATAGTATTGTACAATTCAATCAATTCCGCGTTGTTGATATCGACAGTTTCTGTATGAACATATTCACCAAACAATTTTGTGTAAAAAGCAGTTTTGAATTGTAACTGAAGTTACTTCTTTCCAAAATTTTGAAGCAATTGGTATAGCTTCAACAACGCTTAATAGTGTCAACTTAACAGACAAATCTGTTTTTTTACAAATATCTATCCAAACCAAACAATGACACAATTTGATCTTTGGTATGGTCTACACTCAATTTCTTTCACTTTCAAGTTCACAAACATATAAACATTCTAACACTCTTTGTTTAACTTCCTTTGTTGATGAATCCCAGCACGTAGTAACAAATTCTCTCTTTTTAAACTTCAATAGAATCTCTCTTGTTTCAAGACAATTCAAATGGTTTTGAATAAAATTGCGACGATACTGCTTTTTAAATGAAGCTATTATACCCTGATCGAGTGGTTGCAACTTTGCAGTAGTGTTTGGTGGTAAAAACAGTATCTCGATTTTTTAACACGACATTTGTTTTGTGGGTTGGAGAATTGTCGACCAAAAGTAATTTTTCCGAATACTTCTTTTCAACTCTTCTTCCCACATTTGCAAATATTCATTATATATACTAACAGACGTTCAACTTTTCTGTTGCGACTTGAAAATAATATCAACGGAATCAAATAAACGTCGAGATCCACCTCTTGGCATTGTTGCACTGTGAATAACCATCGGTTTCGTTTTATTTGATCCATCAACATTAAAACAAAAAAGTAAAGTAATTCGTTCCTTTTTTATATCATCAGTTTTTAAGCAACATCTCGATGGTAACTAACGATAAAACAAAGCAGTTTCATTTGCATTGTAAATGTTTTTAT